CTTGCCTTCACCCCAACCCCCCAGGGCTCTTTCCGTGGGGCTGCTCTCCAGCCTCTCCTCCCCCTGTTTGTAGGTATAACCAGGATTACCCCGTCCCAGGTGGAGAATCCGGCACTCGCTCTTGTTGAATTTCATACAGTTGGTGATTGCCCAGCTCTCTAGTCTGCCCAGATCTCTCTGTAAGGCCTCTCTACCCTCGAGGGAGTCCACAGCTCCTCCTAGTTTAGTATCATCAGCAAACTTACTTAATGTACATTCGACTCCTGCATCCAGATAATTTATAAAAACATTAAAGAGCACTGGCCCTAAAATTGAGCCCTGGGGAACCCCACTGGTGACTGGCCACCAGCCTGATGTCACCCCATTTACTATAACTCTTTGAGCCCGAGCCGTCAGCCAGTTGCTCACCCAACGTATTATGGACTCGTCTAGCTGTGTGCTGTGACATCCATCACAGAAGGATGCTGTGAGAGACAGTATCAAAAGCTTTGCTAAAATCCAAAAAAAACACATTTACTGGCTTCCCTTGGTTAACTGGATGGGTGACCTTGTCATAAAAGGAAATTAAGTTGGTTAAGCAGGACTTTCCCCTCGTGAACCCATGTTGGCTATGACCAATGACTGCAGTGTCTCTCAAGTGTTTTTCAATAACTCCCAGAATAACCTTCTCCGTAATTTTACCAGGCACTGAAGTGACACTGACAGGCCTGTAATTACCAGGGTCTTCCTTCTTCCCCTTCTTGAAAACTGGGACAACATTTGCCAGCTTCCAGTTGACTGGGACCTCTCGAGGTTCCCAAGACCATTGAAAAATAATGGAGAGAGGTCCCACGATGATGTCAGGCAGCTCTTTCAGTACCCTGGGATGAACCCCATCGGGCTTATGTGCATCCAGCTGGAGCAGCAAGTCTCGAACTAGAGGAGGATTTCTGGTTTCATCACTGCCTTGAAAGACACAGACTGGAGACCCTAAAAGAGTTGCTGGGAAATGCCAGAGGTTTTTTTGCAACTGAGTCTGGCTGTGGGTTGAGTTCCTGGCTGGGACATCAGGCTGCATGGTGCCTTCGTCCTGGAGTGATAGAAACAGGGAACACCACCTGCCTTAGCTTTTATCTAGTTGTTTTGTCATGAGCAGCTGCTCACAGGAAGTGTATGGCATAAAATTCCCTCAAGAGAAGGGATTTCTGCTCACATTTGATGAGCAAAACAAACGCCACGGTAATAATTTGAGGAACTCAGGAGCTGCAGGTTGTGGCCAGTCCCTTGGAGCGGGGGCCAGAAGCTCCTTGGTAGCAATCCCAGGATAAGCTGCTGCCTCACCAATTGCCCTGCTAACCCCTTCAGGGTCAGATCCTGAGATCAGCTGGGTTTATGGATGCTTTTCACCAGAGGGTGGGTCTGCCAGGCAGATGTGGCTGATCTCCTGTGGCTCCTGCAAGGAGCTCCCCCTGCGTAGCTCCAGGCCTTGCAGACTGTCTTCCTTCACACCAGCATTGCCTTCCTCTGTCTCTGAATTTCCCTGAAAAATAAACAGAAATGAGAGTTCACCCTGTTTTGAACTTCCCTTTCCTAGGGCTCAGCATCACTACATGAGCTTACTGCATGTAGGACATCCAGGGATGAAGGAACTCGGGAGCATGTGGTTGCTATCAAGTGGAAGTCCAGATGTAGTTAGGAGCAGCCCTGACCAGTGCAGGTACCTAGGCATTAGCTGAGGGATGGAGTCAGCCCTCCTTTTGCACGTGGCAGGGGTCTCCAGCATGCAAGGCTTGCTTCTCTGTGCTTTGGCCCATGTGGAGTTGGACCAGTTTAAACGCAGGCAGCAGCGGAGTCCCACGTTGCTGCTCTTTGGCTGAACTTCATGACTTCTTTGACCCCTCCCGTACTTCCCCACACCACTGCTGTGTGGGCAAAGCCCTCTCCTCTTGGGACACCCCATGGCAGACAGTGTCCGGAAAGTCCCTGTCATCACTGCCCAGCATAATCCCAACTCGCAGCTTTTTTGGGTCGGTATCCCTGAGCCCGGGGTGCCGTGCCTGATCTCCAAGGGTTGGCAGTGTCCGTCCTAGGGGTGGCACGGTGGCAGGGATGGGGACATCTGCTTTCTGCTTTGAACTTGGTGGATGTTGCCCTGCTCCTGCAGTATCTTCTCTCTCTCCAAACCGACCTGGGGTGTAAATCAGAAGGGAAGGACCTGCTCCCTCCCCAAGGGGCTCAGTATTCTTGCATGTCGGCCAGTTTTCAGGTCCAAAGCAAGGCAGTACTCACGCTCCTGGGAGTGCTACCGTGCTGCTCTCTGCTTTCCAGAGCCCGTGCCCCAGCCTGAGCTCCAGAGCAGTTCGAACCTGGCAGGTTCGCCCATCAAGCTGGTCTGCGTGGTGCCAGAGGGAACGGTGGCTTCCATCTCCTGGAAGAAGGAGGGACGTCCCCTTCCCCCCGAAAAGTGCTGTCTGCTCTCTGGAAACGTCACCATGCTGCAGATAAGGAACGGAGAGAAGTCGGACTGCGGCTCCTACTCCTGCAACGTCAGCAACGTGATAAGCTGGAAGGAGGCAGCCCTGAACCTGACAGTGACAGGTTAGCCTTGCCCTGCCTCGGTGGGTCCGGCGGTTGGTCGTGTTGTCACAGGTCCACCCCGCAGGGTGCAACTGTCTCTCACGGGCTTTCCTGAGCAAGGAAGATCCAGGACTCGTCCCTTGGGTTTTCCACCATTTTCCAGTTTCCTGGGATCGCCTCTCTGTGTTTCGGGGTTGTGCCCAGTGTGGGGTTTCCCTCCTGCCCTGCCTTGCAGGTCTCACGCCTCCTCTACACCACGTGCAGAGGCTGGTCATCGTCGCGCTGATGTTCGTCACCGTTTCCGCCACCGGCTTCATTATCCTTCTCTGTCAGCTGAGGGAGCGCAGGTTCGGTGAGTGCCAGGGCTGCACCCCAGCCCCCCAAACTAAACCCTTCTCTCCCCACCGTGGACAGGGCAGATGGCAGAAAGCCTCAGCCAAGCTCCTTCTCCCCTGTCGTCCTAATTCATTTTGGTGGTGGGAGGAAATGTGCTCAGCTCATGCATTTCTTCTTACGCCTCTGTAGCTGGCACAGAAAATAAAACTCCCCAGAAGCAGCTTATCCCAAATGGCTTTGTGAGAGATGGAGCCAAAAATATCACACAGCATAAATATCACACATAAGCATCTGAGTCATTCCTCTCCCATTCCTCGGGCATCCTGGGAAGAAATAAAACTTGCAGGACACGCAGGCTGAGTGGGAAGAGCCTTCCTGCCTGGAGCTGGCCAAAGATCATGTCTCATGGGTTTTGGTGACCGAGCGCACTGGTGTTTGGGTCATGACGTTGGATCCGTACCCAAGGACTGTACAGGTTAACGTGGGTTCTTCGGTAGCAACATGTATATTGATTAACAGAAAACAAACCTAAAGACATAGCCGACAGCAAGTCCTCCCACACAGTCTTTGTAATCTGCTAGTGCTTTTTTCTACCCACCAGGAATAATCCCCAGAATAACAGAGACCACTGGGAGAGCAGAGGTGAAGCCCTACAGCTGGCAGGAAAGTTCTCCCGTGTGTATTTGTCTCTCACCATTAACACTGGGGACATGTGCAGGTTGTGGCGTTAGGTCTTGCCTTTGCGGGTAATCTCCCCTGAGGAGTTCTCTGTGCCTGGTGCTTGTGGCAAGAGCTTGTGCCATGTGGGCTTTCCCCCATGAAATGGGTCTCCGGAGGAAATCCAGCACTTGTCAGGTCATTATAGGAGGCAAAAACTCAGACAGAAGTGTTGTAAAGTGTCTCACTAGGTGGAATTGGTGTCCGGTTCAGAGTGGAACAACCCCAAATCTGGCTGGTTTCTCCTGGTTCCTCCTGAAGTCAAAGCAAGCCCTTGAAAGTTCACCAGGTTTTCTTTTCAGGGTTTCTAAACCTCAGGGATTCAATCCGTTACAAAGAAAGCCTGTGCTTGTTGTTTATCTTCCCTTTGCAGGCTGCACCCATCCTGTTTGTGTGGTACTGAGTACGTTTGCCTTTTTTTCCCAGGAGAGGAAGCATGGAAACATATAATTCTGTCCACCCACGGACTGCTGTGTATCTCCTCTCTCCTCCTGCTTGCCACCTCCATCATCTGGATGCAGGAAGAAGGTAGGATTCATTTAACCTGATTTGTTCTCGATTGCTTCAGTGTCTCATCTTTCTTTTTCCTCCAGGTCTTTACAATAGCATCTTTGATGTAGCGGTATTTGATTTGGAGAAATGGAAGTTAGACTTCACTGCTCTGTAGCCTGCAGGCTCCTCTTTCTCTGCTCTTTTGAAACCAAAGGGCTACATTTGTCCCTTTGTACTCTCCAGGTACCACCACCCCTTCTCCAGGACTTCTCAAAAATTAAAAAGCGGTTCAGAAACCACTTCCACCAGACCTTAAGGGACCATGGGCGATGAACACAAAGCTCAGCTGTTCTACCTATTGGTCATGCCATGGGTGCTCATTTGCAACATGCTGAGCTGCAAGAGGACATTAAGGCAAAAGAGTCCAAAGAAAACGCCC